ATTTTCAGGTATCCGTGGATGTCGCTTTCTCTTTAAATAGCCACCAGACATTGCAATAAACAAACAAACAAATAAATAGATAGATAAACAAATAAATCGAAAAACAAAGCTAACTGTTCATCACGAGAGAATGGCAATAAACAACCTGTGCCACTTACAGTGACATGATAATGGGCTGCATGTGCTGATAAGAAAGGAAGTACAAATGGAGATGATTAAGAAAAGGAAGAGGGAAAGGTCCGCTCCTTGCTTATGGGCATAACATAGTGACTGAAGTGAATGTCAGTGAAATGTGCATGAAATCACGCTGAAATGGCAAATGCTTCGTTTTATATAATGTGCCCATTGGCATGTGTGCATATGTATATAGAAGCATATATATATTTGCCACAATTACAGGGTATAGGCACACATACACACACACACACACACACACACACACACACACACACACACACAATGGCTATGCACTGGGCAAGATCAGTCTTTCAAAAGCACCGGGCAATCGGCAGGAGAAAGAAGGGGCTATCTACTCCCATGAAGAGTTGCAGTCCGGGAAACCCACTGGGAAGTTCTACCCTATCTTATAGTGTTGCTATGAATCAAGATCAACTAGATAGCAGTGAGAGTATGTATATATTTGTGTGTTAGACTGGCTTGTCTAGAGAAGTTAAATTAGTGACACTCATCTATGTACAAGAAGACCTTTGTGTCAAGGAATAATTCCATATCAAGAAGGTATTCCAGTCTAGTTCAACTTAAGTCCATGGGTCTGATGTCCATCCATAAGACCCTCTTCAGCCTCATGTAGCTGCAGGCTGATGGTGGAGATGGGTGAGGCAGGAAGTAGGAGGATTACAGGCCAGTGGGTGCAGAGCTGCATGGATCCAAGGTTGGTGGAAACGGGCCAGCTCTCAGGATCAGGTGGCCCATGGGAGTTGCCCCTGGAGGCAGGCAGAACCCCAGCAATTTGGAAGGTGGAGGGTCAGAGAGAAGAAGGTTCCTACTTTCTTCCTTATAAGAAGGCTATGCCCCCCAAGGAGAGGGTGAACCTGATTGAATGGTTGGGTTCCGACCCTGACTTTCAAACATCCATCGGAGAATCTAGGATGGAAGGGGTTTCTTTTCCCCATGTGCAGATATTCCTTCTCAGTGGAGAACAATTTAATGAAATTATATGAAGGGGCTTCAGGAAGTTCATAGAAAAATTCCATTATCTTTTAATTCTATTTTTCTATGAAAATTTTGAATCTCCCTCATATACATACTCTTAAAAAAGACCAGCCCAAATGAGTTGTTTCCATCCATTTAGGCAGGAGCTATGATCTTACATTGGGTTGTAGGGCTACATCTTACATAGTTATCTCCTGATGCTATAACAGAAATACCACAGTGGGTGGCTTTACCAAACAGATTTATCCTTTCACAGTTTTAAGAGGCTAAAAGTCCACCTACAGGATACCAGCTCTAGGGAAAGGCTTTCTCTGTAGGCTCTGGGGGTAAAATCTTACCTTCCTTTGGAGATCTCCTTGTGTCTTGGCATCAACTTTACTCTTGGTCTATAAGGTTCCCAGCCCTGGAACCCCAGGCCCAACTCTACTCCTGGCTCTTCTTTCTCGGTGGTACTGAAGTCCTGTTCATCGCTGCTTGCTTGTTTAATCTATTTTATATGCAAGAAGAATACTGATTAAAGATACAACCTAATCCTACAGAGTGTATTCTACCTCATTAGCATAAGTGCCTCTAACCCTGCCTCATCGACATCACAGAGGTTGGCATTTACAAGGCCTTACACGATTACATCAGATCACAAAATGGAGTAGAATTGCATAATCCTGAGAATCATGGCCTAGTCAAGCTGACACATATTTTTAGGGAGAAGATTCAGTCCATACCAGACCATCACTTGAACTCAGCTCTTTGTAGCTCCACTGAGACCATGAAGGCCCCGAGTATCTATCTTCAGCACCCCTCCCTCTTTGATTCCCTGTCCTTTTAAAAAAAATAATGTTTTCATCCGGTGGCACAAATGATTTATGCTCAACTACTAACCTAACAGGTGATGGTTGGAACCCATCCAGTGGTGTTGTGGAAGAAAGGCCTGGTGACCTACTTCTGTAAAGATCACAGCCACGGGAAGCCCCATGGTGCACAGTTCTACTCTGACACACAAGGGGTTGTCATGATGATTGATTGACTGCCATCAAATCAATTCTCATAGTGACCCTGTAGGACAAGGTCGAATGGCCCCTGTGGGCCTCTGAGACTGTAGCTCTTCGTGGGAGTAGACAGCTTCATTTCTTTCCTGTAGTAGCACCTGGTGGTTTTAAACTTCTGACCTTGTAGTTAGCAGTCCGACGAGTCAGAATTGACTACATGAAATCAAATTGTTGTTGTTTGGGGCCGGGGCAGTGTCTGGGGTAGGTTGTTTGCTAAGGAGCTCTGGTGGTGCAGTGGTTATGCATTGGGCTGTGATCTGAAAGGTTAGTAGTTCGAAATGTCCAGCCGACCCATGGGAGAAAGACAGTGCTTTCTGCCCCTGTAAAGAGCCACGGTCTCTGAAACTCATGGGAGCCATTCTACCCCATTCGATCGGGTCGCCAGGCATTGGCGTGGACTCCAGGCAGAGGGCTTGCTTTGTCTGCTCGCTCTGTAGTAGGAAGCGCTGCCTTCTCTTTGTGGCCAAGCAGTCCTTGGCTGGTTTGCCGGGTGGATGGACAGACCCAGCTCTCCACAGACCGCTCCAGAACCCCACCTTGCGAGTGCACACATATCCTCTTCCTCTGAGTCTTTCTGCCAGAATCCCACAGGGACCTTCCTCGGGTCTCTGGTCTCCACGCCAGGATTTCACAATGGGCTTTTCCCTCGGCTCTCTCCATGGACGCCAGCTTCCTTTCCCACGGCGACTGAGAGCACGCGTGTGCCTCTCCTGCCTGCATTTCGTTGTGTTTCTCACTGCTCACACCGCGCGCCAACCTGCTGAGGTGCAAAGAGGACTGTAAGTGGAACGAGCCTGTGCCCTTCCAGTCAAGCCCGGCTCAAGGTGACCTCAGGTGTATCAGAGCAGAATGGGGTCCCCTCGAGGTTTCAAAGGCGCAGTTGCCGGAATGAGATCACCAGGCCTTTCTTCGGCACTACTCTGGGTCCTCAGTGAGAGAAAAAGTGCCCGGTGTGCCCAGCAGAGCTCTCCGGGCCCAGCTTGCCTGTGGGCAGATGCCCGCCTGAGGTGGGGGAGTGGAGGAAGTGTAGGTGCATTGCCAGAACACAGCGCCGTTGAGCTGTCCTGTTTGGACCCCTCAGTCTTCTCTTCAGCAGGTGGGCTCATTACCCTTCAGTCCAGTATCTCATGGGTGTCCATGGGGCTCATAATGCTCTGCTGGAGGGCTAGCCGTGATTCTCACCCTCTCTGTGTGTGGACAGGGCAGCTGTCCGAGGGAAGGAGCACAGTTCCATCACTCTGTCCCCGCCTTTGCCTTTTCCCCCCTCCCACCTCCTGTCCCTTTGTGCATGATGGTTACAACACCAGTCATCACTGGGGCCCTGGCTTAGCTCCTGGCTGTGTGACGGCGGGGCACACGGTGGGGTGGGTCCACATTCTCACTTCTCTGGGCTGCGGCAGGCATCACAGCCATACAATGAAAGACAGGCCGTGCCCGACCACCCACACACCTTGTTCTGAGGGCTTTGTCCTCAATGGGTTCTCAATTCTATGATGATTGACTACTCTGATCAGTATTTTATTTTTTTATTTTTTTTAAAACATTTTATTAGGGGCTCATACAACTGCTTTCCCAATCCATACACACATCAATTGTGTAAAGCATATTTGTACATCATTTCTCAAAACATTTTCTCTCCATTTAAACCCCCGACATTAGGTCCTCATTTTTCCCCTCCCTCCCCGCTCCCCCCTCCCACATGAGCCCTTGATAGTTTATAAATGGGTATTTTGTCATATCTTGCCCTGTCCGACTTCTCCCTTCATCCACTTTTCGGTTGTCTGTCCCCCAGGGAGGAGGTCACACACAGTTCCATGTAATCGGTTCCCTCTTTCCTACCCATTCTCCCTTTACCCTCCCTGTTTTGCCACTCACACCACTGGTCCTATAGGGCTCATCCATCCTGGATTCCCTGTATTTTCAGTTCCTATCTGTACCAGTGTACCTCCTCTGGTCTAGCCAGTCTTGCAAGATAGAATTCGAGTCATGGTAGTGGGAGCGGGGAGGAAACCTTTAGGAACTAGAGGAAGGTTGTATTTCTCATCATTGTTACATCGCACCCTGACTGGCTCATCTCCTCCCCGAGACCCCTCTGCAAGGGGATCTCCAGTGGCCTACTAATGGGCTTTGGATCTCCACTCCACACTCCCCTCATCATTCACATAGTAAGATTTTTTTGTTCTGATGATGCCTTTTTTTTTTTTTTTTTTTTAAACATTTTATTAGGGGCTCATACAACTGCTGATGATGCCTTACACCTGATCTCTGATCAGTATTTTTATGAAGCTGATTTTTTTTTTTTTGAAGCTGATTTTTGACTTGATTGATTAGACTTGGCTAATTTGTATATAAACATCTTGGAGTGAACCTTTGCGACATTGTCTGGAACACACATACACACACACTGGGGAAGAGCAGCTCGTGGTCCCTGGAAGACGTTGTAAATTGGGGACTCCCTGTTTATGCTCTCCCATCTTGCTTCCAGGCCTGCAACTGTGACCATAATGTTCCATTTGGGGTGCAAATGGGTTTACACTTGGCTGTCAACTAAATGGCTGGAGGGTCCAGCTCACCCCGAGGTGCCTTAGGAAAACATGCTAGTCGTCCACTTCGGAAAGATCACTGACTGAAAACCCCGTGGAGCACACTTGTACTCTGACACCCCGAGGTCACCAGGAGCTGGACTTGCCTTGGTGGGCCACTCGTTTGAGTGTGTCTTCCTCCAGGCAGCCAGCACCAATGAGCATTGGGTGACTTGTGCTTGTCCCTAATTACTTGCAGGAATTGTGTCCCAGCCCGCAGTTTATCATTGGTGGAGCTACCCGGACGGACATTTGTCAAGGTGACCTAGGTGAGTAACTGGGGAGAGTCCTATTTGTTTTGGGGGAGGGTGTGTGTGAAGGTAATGAGCCACATCAGATTAAGCTGTTAGACTTGACCAAATAGACGAAGCATCAAGCCCATTATGGTCGAGTGGATTCTGACTCATTGTCTGTGGCTGTAATCTTTACCGAAGCAGACTGACACGGCAGTCTCCCTTGGAGCACTGGGGGGTTCAAACGGTCCCCCTTTCAGTTAGCAACCGAGTGCTTTGCCACACGGCACCACCAGGATCCTCAGGTTATATCCACGAGGGTCTCTGTGGGCTTGTGTCTCTGAGTCTGCCTTCTTCACTGTGGATCTCGGATGCCGAGCGCTCGCTGTATCCTCTACCAGGGGATTTCCTGCAAAGTCACTTAGCCTGGCCAAGGTCAGAGCCACAAGCCAGGGTTACGTGCACAAAGTAAACCACCATGTTGTATTTTGTTTATATGGGAGGAGCCCTGGCCGTGTAGTGGTGACACATTGGGCTGCTAACCACAAAGCCAGCAGTTCAAAACCACCAGCTACTCCACGGGAGAAAGATGAGGCTTTCTACTCCAGGAAAGAGTTGCAACCTCAGAAACCCAAGGGGGGCAGTTCTTCTCTGTGCTATTGGGTCGCTATGCTTCAATATTGACTCGATGGCAGTGAGTGAGTGATGATGTTTATACAGGAGTTACCCTTAAGTGTACAAAACTTGCTGTGGTCATGTCTATATAATTACAGACGCTTTCATAGTTGATACCTTAGTAGATATGTTTTATAAGTAGTAAGAAAATAATAGATCATATCTTTCTAGCCCAGCTTTCTTTCATAGCCTTAGTCTTCTAATTTTCCATATTCCTTTCAAACTTGGTACAGTTAAGCTTAAAAACCATGGCTCGTTACCTGATGGAGCAAGTCCTAGCCTCAATTGTTGGGTCTGTCTCCTTGCTAACAGACTCGGCTTTGTTGCTCTCATAAGCACTCCTGACCCGGGAGGGGGTGGTGGTAGAGGCCCGCATATATGGGGCTTTCTGCATTGAGTTGGACAATGCTTACTTCTTATGGGACAACATGGCCTAGAACTGAATTCACTGGGCTTCCAAATGCTGTCTCCTGATTGCTGCACAATGTAGCCCTACAAATGAAGCATCCATAGAAACTCGATGGTCCTGTGTTTATTAATTTCGGCAATTCACCCTTCCAGCCAGCCCCTGCCCACCTCCACTCCCCCTCAGCCAGGAAAACCTCTCTCCAGTTTGCTTGAAATGTTCATGGTAGTGAAAATTCACAGGACATTTTATTTTAAATGCTTCTAATTTAATTTTTTAAAACATACACAAAGCAACTAGGCCTTAGCTGGGGAGCCTGGAGGGGTTTGGGCCCCAACCCTGACTTGTGTCCCCTGCCCCTGTAACCATAGCCTCAGCCCCCTTCCTTTGTGGGTGCACCTGCCGAAGAGCAGTACCCTGACCCTTCCTGATCAAGAGCCCCTCACTTCAAGCTAAATGTTTGACCTGTTTAATGAGTTTCTCGGGGAAGCACAACGTGGAATCCACACTTTCAATAGCTCTTTGTTATAAATGTTTTATTCAGAAAAGGTGCTTAGTAAGTGCCTCTTAATTGATCGACTGGAATGGATTTTCCTTTGCAACCATTTTAAGCAAGGAGAAGAAAGTGTTTCCAAAACAGGGCTTCAGCATGTCCATGGCGAGTGTGTGATGCGGACGGAGACCAAAACCAAGCCCGCTGCTCTGGAGTCGATTCTGACAGCCAGCCGCCCTGTGAGATGGAGTAGAGCTGCTCCTCGGGGGTTCTGAGACTGAATCCTTGTGTGAACAAACCGCCTCGTCCTCGTCCCTCGAGAAGCTCCTGGGTTTGAGCCGCTGATGTTGTGGTTAGCAGCCCAACCCTTAACTCCCTACGACACCCGGGCTCCTTAGCTGATCGAGACAAGACTGGAAATGCAGGGCGTGGACCCATGTACTGAATCCGAGTGGAGCCCTGGTGGCAGAGTGGTTACATATTGGGCTGCTAACCCAAGGCCGGCAGTTCAAACCCACCAGCCTCTCAGAGGGCATGATTTGGCTTTCTACTCCCGTAAAGAGTTACAGTCTTGGAGACCCACAGGTGCAGTTCAACTCTGACCTGTACAGTCATTATATGTCGCAGTGGGCTTGATAGCAGTGATAACTCAAACTCTGAGTTAAGAAGCTCTGGTGGCATAGTGGGCTGTGTTTGAACCACTGCCTGTGAGATTGTGATTAATGGTTCAAGTCCGTCCGCTGCTCCACAGGAGAAAGAGGAGGCTGCCTACTCCTGTAAATATTTAGTCTCAGAAACCCACAGGGACTGTTTTATAGGGTCACGATGCGTCAGCATTGACTTGATGGCTGTGAGTTTGGGGTTGGTGTAACTCTGAGTTAAATTCCTATCAAAACTAATGGTACAGGTGGTTGCTAATGGCCCGAGGAAGAAGAGGCGCAAACTCCCAGCTCCTGAAAGGGTCTGGGCACTGGGATCTGAACAGATTGAGCCTGCCCCAAACCAGACTCACTGCCATTGAGTTGATGCCAACTCACGGTGACCCTATAGGACAGCGTACAACTGCATGTGCATTTCCAAGACTGTACCTCTTTACAGGAGTAGAAAGCCCTGTCTTTCTCTCTCAGAGGGACTGGTAGTTTTGAACTACTGACATTGTAGCTAGCAGCCCCCAAACTGAAACTTAGGAAGTAAACCAGTGGCTGCCTCACAGCTCAGAGGGCACCCCTGTGTGGTGCAAACAGTCACCTGCTTGCTGCTAACAAGACAGTTGGAGGGTCAAGTCCACTCAGAGGCACTTAGAAGAAAGACTCAGGCATGTGTTGCAGCAAAACAAACCCATCTGTTTGGGAAGAAGTACAGGCAGAGTGCTCCTTAGAGTAAGGTGACCAGATGTCCTGCTTTTGAAGGGACAGTCCCGATTTTTGGCATTTTTAAAAAGGCTCGATTTTTGGAAAGAATGCCCGACAAGCCAGGGAATGGTCTATTTGGTCCGTATAGACCAAAGTTTTAATCAAGAAACCCCCACCCTCCACCCCCGGTCAATGGTGTCCCACTTTAAATCTGGTCACCTTACCTTAGAGGCAAGGCTGGCAAGACTTCATTTCACATACTTTGGGCACGTTGTCAGGAGAGACCAGTCCCTGGAGGACATCATGCTGGGGAAAGTAGCCGGGGCAGAGAAAAAGAAGACGATCCTCCACAAGCCGATGGACACCGCGGCGACAACAATGGGCTCAGACAAGAGCGAGATTGTGAGGCTGGCACCGGACCAGGCAGTGCTTCATTCTGTTGGGCAGGAGGTTGCTATGGGCTGGAAGTGACGCCATGGCACCTACCAGAACAACAACAACAACAACAACAACAACATCTGATTCTGAGTAATCAGCCACCGGGAACCCTCTGGGGCACAGTTGTGCTCTGACACGCAGGATGTTGGACAGGGGTTGAAGCCCACTTGCCCGGTCCGGCAGCACAGCAACACAGCATCAGGGCAGAGAGCCAGAGGCCCCGTGTCAGCGATGTGTGTGCGGCCTGTGAAGTTCCAGCCAGGCCTGGAGCAATGGGTGGATGAGGAGGGGTGAGTCCTTCGGTGACCTATGGCGGGTGTTCCCACAGAACAAGGCAGTGCCAGGTGGCACTTGTGGAACCAGGGCGGGAGATGGATTCTTGTTTGCTCAGGGGTAGATGACCTCTTCTTGCTCCCTTGGAGTGGTTGGTGGGTTTGAACCTCTGACCTTGTGATCGGCAGCCCACCATCTATTCCACAGCACCCCTGGGGCACAGCAGTGCAGAAGGACTGTTTGGTAAACTTCTGGTCAGTTGACAAGGCAGCATTTGAAAGCAAGCACAGCCTAACTTTGAGACTACTCGTGCTTCTCTGCCTTCCTTGTTGCCGACCATTCCCAACAATCCGGCTGGGCGTGGCATGTAGACCAAAAATCCCACTCTGAAGCGGTCTGTGTCTTCTACTTCTGAAGAATGTCAACGTTTCATACAAACCAGTGTGCCGGCTGGTCTTGCCTGTCTGCCTTGCTGCCTGTGCTGGGCAAAAATGTAAAGGTGCACAAATGAGGGTGTCCCAAGCCCCTGGTTGCTGTGGATGAAGGAGAGGAAAGTGGAGGGAAGAAGCCTCTTGTGGCTGCTGCATTCTGGGGGCTCATTGGGACTGCTCTGACACTGCCCATGTCTGAGGCTCGGCAAGCTCCCTGTCCCGTAGCTCACAGCGACCTTTCTCCAAGGACAGAGCAGAACCGCTCCTGTGGGTTTGTGAGGCTGTAAATCTTTATGGAAGCAGAACGCCTCATCTTTCTCCCGAGGCATGGCTGGTGGGCTTGAACGGCTGACCCTGAGGTTAGTAGCTCAATGTGTGACCCATTATGCCACCAGGGATCCTCGCAGCATAAGCTAACACTCCCTGTTGGACAGCTGCAGCCACATCCAGAGAAACACTCGGGCGTTGTATGACTTATGCCTATCATTGTGAAAATGCAACAGGCCTTGAAACATCTTTAGGTATAAATGGGCCCCCAAGCCACATAAGGAAGATGTTACTCTATAACTGACTGGTGTCCGAAAAGCGAAAAAGGACACTTTTCAGGAACAGGGTGTAGGGAGTTTCTTCTTTAACAAAGACTTCTAGAATTTAGGGAGGAATCAGAAGGCCTTCTAAAAACAGCCCTTCAATCTTCCTTCAGTGTTTTCCTCCAATGGGCAATTTATTTTCCACGGATGAGTAAATCAAACCTGTTGCCCATGGTGATTCCATGAATTTCCTTTTTTTTTTTTTTTTTACCCATGAATTTCATAGGAGAACTGTGCTCCATAACGCATTCATTGGTTTGATTGGCAGACCTTGCTTCTACCGAGCCCTTGGGTGGATTCAAACCACCCACCTTTCAGTTGGTGGTCAGGGTCAAACCGCTTCAGCGCTCAGAGTTCACACATGCTTGCTAGGTGCTG